AGTTGTTCTCTTACGGGTCGAAAAGTTCCGTCCATATTTTGAGGGTCGTGAATTGGTTGTGGAAACGGACCATGCAGCTTTGCGCTGGCTACAAACTCTCAAAGAACCAACTGGCCGATTATGCCGTTGGGAGATCCGATTATCACCATACGAAATCAAAATTATTCATAAACCAAGAAAACATTTAGAACTTCCTGACGCCTTATCTCGTTCTTTTGCTCTTCTCAACATCGTTCGTAGAAATCCAATTGACCTTCCGAGTAATTTTCACGTTAATCGTACCCCAATCACATCCGTCATCAACATTGACCCAAACACGTGCGATAAATGGTACAACAAAATGCATGCCATGGCCTCAAAACAACCATTAGATAGATATAAAATCGAGAACAACCTCCTATATCACCGATTGAAATTTTCCAATCATACTGCGGAAATTCTGTGGACACTTTGTGTACCATCTTCTGACAGAGCAAAAGTCCTTCGATGAAAACCATAACCAACATTCGCATCAGGGATTTTGGAAAACTTATAGACGTATCTCACAACGCTATTACTGGCCAAACATGTATGAGTCCGTTTACCAATACGTTCGGCAATGTGAACTATGCCATTGCATTAAACCAAGTAATGAGAGCACCAAAACACCTCACGGCGAATACAGAGAACCAAAACGACCGGGTAGGCAATTATCGATTGACTTCGTCGGTAAGCTGCCCATGTCTAAAAATCGTAACCAATGGATCTTCGTAGCCATCGACTGTTACTCGCGATATGTCTGGGCGCAGCCCATGAAAAATGCAAACGCCATATCCGTAGTCAATTATCTTCGACATATATTCACGGTGAATGGCTGCCCCGAACTCATTATATCAGATAATGGTACTCAATTCATCAGTCAAACTTTCGCAAAGCTTTGCGCCGATTATAACATCAAACACATGAAAACGCCTTTGTATCATCCACAAGCCAATCAGGTTGAGGCGACAAACAAAAGCATTAAACTTGGATTACGTGCTCACATGGCTGACCTACTCGAACATTCCCCCTGGGAAAACCAGCTGTCTCGTGTTATTCATGATATTAACGCTTCAGTGCAGTCAGCCACGGGCTACACGCCATATTTCCTGCACACTGGTCGTGAATATGTGAAAGATGGAAACGAATATAAATTATTATTGGATATAAATCCATACCATACACAGGATGTGGAACAGCGTAAAGTTCTGGCTGATGAAATTCGAGACAAACAGTTCGAACAATATCAACAAACCGCACAACGGGCATTTACCCGCAAAAGAGAACGCCATTTCGAGATAGGCTCGGAAGTGTACATTCCCAATCCTAAACAGTCCGTGGCCGTGCACAAAAACTACCCCCACCAAAAATGATAGCCTATGTTTCACGGAAACTTGGTTCGAATTCATATGAACTGATCGATGCTAAACACCGAACGCTTCGCAATTATTCCGCCGATTTAATCACAACACGTTCACTCATTCAGTACATTCGCCTTCTGAATAATTTCGATGAATATATAGCGGGCCTCCATATTCCATTGATTCTGCCTTATTACAGAGTACCCGGCTGGAGTAAATTAATTAAGTTTACTTTTGTTATATCCATAGTTGTGTTATATTATATCCTCAGTGCATTGCTAGTAAATCGATCAAAGCAAACAAGAAAAGATTCATAACCAAATCATTTACCAATGCCTTTAATCTACCGTAGCTTATGTAATGCGTACTGAAACTTAATACGAAAGACGGAACATTTGTACATACATATGCGCTTACAGAAGAACTGAACGAGTCAGGATGACGTTGATGAAGATCATCTAGAACGATTTCGATGTATGGTCTAACGTCGATCAAACCACAGCCCGTGAATCGCATTCGAACCACCATTCTCATATCCCTACCAAACGCTCCACATTTTTTTTGTTAACGTGTCGCTGAAGATGAGAGGGGGATAATGATCTATTATTTTTATTGCCCAAATAATAGACATAAGAACGATTATAAGAAATGTAAACACAACAAAACTGTCAAAGCTAAACTTCAAAATGGGGGGATTGCCAGATGAATGTACGTAACCAATAGTTATTCAAGACACGAACCATCATATCGGTATAGACACGAATTGACATGGCCACTATGAAAACGATGAAAGAATCGGTGGTCACATAACACGAGGCGAGAAAAAAATTTTTCTTTTTGGAATTGGACACGGAGCGAACCAGACTCATCAGCCCTCACATGAACGGAATTACAACCAAGTAATTAAAGTGGATTAAAAGCTTGTATTAAAAGCTGACGACATTCGGGGAGTCGATACTCACCCCTCAGTGGAAATTAATAGAGGCAAAAGGTGCCGTCACATTCCTTCTGGCAAATCCCTAGCCATGTTGTTGCGTATAATAAAGAAGTTGTGAGCATCAAATATGGACTATTCATTTGACAGCAATTGAGTCACCACAAGCGGGTAATACAAAATCATTACACGTAAGTCAGCCACTTTCTTGCCACCATCCATTGGAAGCGAGCCATCCATCAACCTTAAATAAAGATTCCTGTTGGGACCGACAACCCAAGGTCAAGCAAATCACAGCGCCCGCCCAACCAACAACCAGTGGACCAACTCCCAGCACACGACCCCGGACATCCACTCAAAGCAGCGTCTGCAACAACCTGATAAGGCGTAACACCACATCAGTAAGATGCAACGCGTGCAACAACTGGTGCCACCTGAAAAGCTGCTCCGGCCTCAAACACCATCGCGAATGGAGTACTGCTTTCACTGCAGCCTGCTGCTCTGCTACCACACAACCCCAATCGCCTACACCTACGTCTGTGCCAATGCCAACGCCAGCGGTAGTCCCACAACCGCGGCCCACGGTTACACCCACACCGGTGACAAACACAACCGGCACAGCAAGCAATTCAGGCAGCACGCCAGCACTCCCTCACCCCGCGAATAACCATCACCAGGCCCAACTCCATAAAATTATTGTAGTTCAATTGCGACGGACTACAAAGCAAGATCGCTGAGATAGTCAGCTTCAAGAGGCACAACAAAATCTCAGTCGCGGCGGTTCAGGAAACCAAACTCCACTCCAGCTCTAGCCTTCAGAGTCAGGATGAGTTCAACGTCATCCGAAGAGACCGCCCTCGCGGCGCCGGAGGCGGCATTGCCCTTATATTGCACAACGCGGTCCAATACCGGCTCATTACCCCCCGAATCGCCACCTACGACACACTCATTGAGCACCAAGATGTGGCAATCAAGTCGGGAGATACTGAGCTAGAAGTCGTCAACGTGTACATACCACCTGCCACCAGCTGCCCAGCAGGATACCGCCCGAACATAAGTATGCTACTTGAAGGCGAAAATCGGGCAGTGCTAAGGGATTTTAACGCGCACCACGAACTCTGGCACTCCAACCTGGGCAACGACCAGCGGGGTACACTAATCGCAGAACAAATTGACGACTCAACGTTTTGCACTGCTACAGCTCGCCAGATATCACTATAGCAAGCGGGGGTCTGATAAATTGCATTGGTTGGCAACCAGTGCTCACGCTCGCATCAGACCACCTGCCCATAGTAGTCGCGATAGACCACCCAAGAGATTTTGTCACATCCGAAGACCGTACGTATATTAACACCAAGAAGGCCAACTGTGACGGTTTTGCGGAACACACGGATCGCAAATTCTGCTCTTCCACCACCAACATGTGCACGTGCAGCTGAGCGCAACATCCGCCGGATCATCAACGCAGCAGCCGCGCGCTTTATACCAGCCGGTAGGATCGCCAAAATCCGCCGGGCTTTCCAGCTGAAGCGGCGGGACTTGCAGCCGAGCGTGATAGAATCCGCCAGTCTAATCCTGGTGATCCCCGTATCAGGGATCTCAACAAGGACATTAACAAACTGGGTAACGAACACAAGCGGAAAACGTGGAATGAGCACCTCAAGACCTGCAATCTCTACAGCAGAGCTAGCAAACTGTGGACGACAGTAAAATCTCTTTCCTATTCGACGAAACGCAAGGGCAACATTGCCCTTACATTTGGCGATACCACCACGTCGGAGCCACGGACGTGCGCGCGCGCTTTTTCCGCCGACAGTTTATTGCACACGTGGAGAGAGACAAAGCCCGCCGCAGTGTGCTACGTAAAGCACACAAACTCCGCCCCGAGACACACTAACGTGCTTTACACCAGAAGAGACGCAGGCAGCTGTAAAGAACGCCAAAGCATCCAAGGCGTTAGGCCCTGGCGGAATCTCGATGCAGATGCTGAAAAAGCTAGGATCAGTGGGAGTCGAGTACATCAAAGCAGCTTTCTACTTGTCCCTGTCCACCCATCCCTGAGATGTGGAAAATGGGTAGGATCATTCCCCTCCTTAAGCCAGGTAAGAAGGCGGACGCAGGAGACTCTTACCGGCCAATCTCCCTCCTATCTCCAGTGGCAAAGACAATGGAAGCACTACTCCTCCCCAGTCTAACGAAGCATCTGCAACTAGGCCAATACCAACACGGATTCCGCAAAATTCACAGCACGACCACTGCATTAAACGCCATCACCACACAGATAAGCGAGGGTCTGAACCAACGTCGACCCTGTGATAGGACGGTCCTAGTCGAGGTAGACCTGTCGAAGGCCTTCGACGCGGTAAACCACGCGACCCTTTGCCAAGACGTCCTGGACTCGTCACTTCCGGACCGGACGAACCGGTGGATAACCAGCTATCTGTGTGGACGCCAATCATCGGTCGAATTCCGAAACGCCAAGTCCAATCCGCGTAGGATTAAACAGGGGGTCCCCCAAGGCGGCGTACTCTCCCCAACACTGTTCAACCTCCCTCCGCCGCCAACAGGAGTTCACTTGGTGAGCTACGCCGATGATTGCACGAGTATGGCGACGGGCCCCAATATTGACAGCCTGTGCGGGAAAATCTGCGACTATCTCACCGATCTTGCAAATTTCTTCACTGCCTCACCATCTCCGCCGCGAAATCCACCGCCACCCTGTTCACCACCTGGACAAAGGAAGTTAGGCTAGAGATGGACGTTTACGTCGATGGCAACAAAATACCTACGGTCAACCACCCCAAAATCTTGGGAGTTACGTTCGACAGCCTATTCTCCTTTTCTGCGCACGCCTCAGCCACTTGCGAAAATATGCGAGCTAGGAACAAAGTCCTCCAGTCACTAGCCGGCAGCACTTGCGGAGCCGACAAAGAAACTCTACTCACTACGTACAAAGCAATCGGCCGGTCGGTGGCAAACTACGCACCGCCAGTGTGGACGGCGGGTACCAGCGATACACAGTGGAGAAACCTACAAAAATGCCAGAATGCAGCTCTACGCACGGCTACAGGCTGCCATCTCATGTCGTCCGAGCATCACCTCCACCAAGAAAGCCAGATGCTAGCGTTGAAAGAGCACAACACGTTGCTATCGAAGCAGTTCCTCGTGGGATGTCACCGTGGAAATCACCCCAATAACGCCCTGCTTCGAAATGAACCGTCTCCCCGACATGTCAGACGTCACCTGCACGACTGGAAATCCGACGTTGAGCCGTTCGTAGACCACCCATTCGACGCAGAGAAATACAGAGCGGCGCTTAACCACCTACACACGGATGCAGTTAGGTCGGGTCTTAGCACCTGAAAAGACAACATCGTTCTAGATGGTCGACCGCCACCCATCAACATCGACGAAGCCGAACTTCCAGAGAGACGTGGTGCACCCTAGCACAACTCCGTTCTGGGTGGTGCCACAGACTAAACAGCTATCTCTCCCGGCTGAACCCAGAAGTGGCAGACACATGCCCTGCATGCGGGCAAGGTCCACACAACACCCAACACCTCTTCGCATGCGCCTCTAACCCCACGACCCTGACACCAGAAGCACTATGGACCGCGCCTATAGACGCTGCCCGCTTTCTCGGCCTCAGGCTTGTCGAGTCAGAGGACGAAGACGACCCTTGACGAAANTGATGACCCTTGACGAAACCCCGGAGGGTCGAGTACTGCTGCTACAACAACAACAAGCTCTGATACCTGGATGACTTATACTATGCAATTTGTCAAATACTTCTCTCCGTAAGCTATTTGGTATGTAAGGCCTAGTAGTCCCATTGTTTTCTTCACAATAAATGTTAAAATTCAAAAATGGTATTTTAATTTCTACTATCTTATATAGTAGGGGAGCCCAAGAGGGGATTCGGGTATTTACTCGAGCGCGTCAGATTAACATATGAGGCATACCCTGCCTCCTGGTGAGTACCTCTGCCAAATCTAAGCCATCTATGTAGAGCCGCGCGCATAGTAGAGCTGATCAGAATAGTAAAAAAAAATTGATAGGTGGATTTACTCGAGCGCGTCAGATTACGAAATGGTGGGTTGATTACATGCTGAAAAGTGTGCATTTCAATAATCTGACGATTTGATCGTGACGCAAGGGATTGGGAGGATCGCAAACTTGCAAAATAAAAGTTACATGGACATTCCCGAGCGCGGTCCATTTTTTTTTATTACGAAGTAAACAGCTGAAGGATAACGGGAAGTATATAATCTGACGATTTGAACAAGCCGGAGTGAGGAAAACCGTCAACAAAGATTGTCGTGTGCACTTGCTGGTTTTCAAACCCACTAATAAATAAAAGAGTACTCCTTTTGGCCTGATTTCAGAGCAATTAGGGAGGTTTGTTGATTCTGACCTCCTTTATAACTCGCTTATGAGTCAAATCGAAGATCTCCTAAGTGAGCAACAAAATAATACTCCCAGAACCATGATTTTGGAGCAATAAAAGATATTTTTTTGATTTTGTACTCCTTTATTACTCGTTTAGGAGCCAAACGGGAGATCTCCCAAGAGAGCAACAAAAGAATGCTCCTTGAGGCATGATTAAGGAGCGATAACTGAAATTTGTCGGTTTTGTACTCCGTTATTACTCGCTTAGGAGCAAAAAGCGATGTCTCCTAAGAGAGTAAGCCAGGAGTATTCCTTTTGATTGATAGGAGAGCTATAGGCACCTCGTTCAAAAGAAATTGTGTATTATTGGAAAAATTTATCATAAGGAAAACTACAGAAAATATTTCATATAGAAACAATATAGAGAGGGTCCAATAATTAAATGCCGATAGCACACATTTAAGTGAAGTTCCGTCGGTATGTATTGCAACTGTTGTTTAAATTTATTAAATATTGTATTATATAACGCTAAATATTTTTCAGATTGGGCGAGTTAGTATCAGCACTTACGTATGGCCCCCTAGTTTTAACGTTTATGTAATGTCGGTCCAGAGCTTTTATTGGGTGACATAGATACCAGATCGGCAAAGTAACCTTCATATTGATCGTGGTTAAAATAAGAAAGTTTTATACACTCTCCCTAATTGCGTGAACTTTTGAACACCAAAGCATCCCTGACACGCAGTAAATCATGTAGTTATCTTTTCGTTTTATTATTATTCTGTTCTACTTTTATTTTTATTTTGTTTTACTTTGCATTTGTCCCCACTAGAATTCCAATATTAATCAATAATAGGTTCATTCCTTATCTTTTTGGACTAAAATCTGAAAAGTGTCAAAATGCCAGAGCGTAGGCAAAATGCGCTCACTAAAAGAGAATAACAGGAAAAGTAAAGGAACGCAAAAAACCAAATTTTTAGTCCGAAGAATGCCAACAACAAAACTAACGTCAAATAAGAATGGAAATGTATGTATAAAAAACATACACACAAGCACAAGCACAATAAACACTTACTATATCAATTATTTTTTGCCTCCTTCCAATTTCAATTCACTTTTTTTACTTTTTAGATTATTCGCACTTTTTGCGTATTCTTTAATTTCCGTTAAATTTAAATTCAGTTGAGTTTGACACTTTTCAGGATTTTGCCAGAAAAAATTCTTCTGACTAAATCTGACTACTTCGGACTGAAGAGAGTCACTCTCACTGAGTGTTGCTCTCTCATTTTTGCTGTCATTTTCGAGTTAAGGAACGCTTTTTGGACTAAATCTGACTAAATCTGACTACTTCGGACTTTTTCTGACTATTATATAGTAATAAGTATTATTCATGTTTGATTTCGTACTTATAAGCATATGTTAAGATCTTTTCATATTGTATACATGCATGTGATTAAGAAATTAAATAAATGGATTGCGTAAATAGAAAAATCTTTTAGCTAATGAGACGTATTCTGGTTTTCGTGCGAATCGAAAATTTTAAATTTTTGAATACAAAACGATAGGAAAATTTCATGAGTTTCAATTCATACGAAAACAAGAATACGCCCCAATATGTGGGGCAATGAAATATTCTTTTAATACTGGTACAGGAGGCTTTCGGGATGCCTCTTATGGGAGCACTCCCTTATTGCACGTTCGGGAGGAATGTGGGATGTTTTTCTATATGTACTCCCTTACTACCTTTTGGGAGGTTCATCCATCAACGTTGTCGTCAATTTCAGCTAGGGGGAAGCCCAGGAAGTGTGCTACTTCCACAGGGGATGTCCATAGGGACAGGCGCGTTAGCTGAGTGGGGTTCTCTGGGCATGTGAAGAGATGCCGGGAGTTATGTTGCGACTCTCCAAATGCCGGGCATTGGCTGGGCACATCCTCGTTGATTCTGCTCAAATAGGAGTTGAGCCTACTGCAATAGCCAGAGCGAAGTTGGGCTATTGTAGTGCGGGTCTCCCGAGGCAGACATAGTTCTGCACCGTCCACGTCCGGTGGTTGTGTGCCTAGGATGGCATTCACAGGGCGGGAGTCTACATAACTTGAGACTGATTCCCTGTGAATGCCGTTCAGGGCCTGTCGGTAGGTTGGCGGGTCCAGATGTTGTTTGATAAACCTCCGGAGTTCGTCCGTCAGTTCGTAAAGATGCCTCCTGACGTGCCGTGGCGAGGGCTCTTCCGCGAGCAGCTGTCCGCTGGGATGGAACTGCTTGCAGAGCATTATGTTATGCTCCTTTACTGGGCATCTTGGCCTCGTCATGTAGGTGGTGTTGGGGCGTCATCAGGAGGCATCCTGTCGCAGTTCATAATGCCGTGTTTTGGCAGGTCTGTAGCTTCATCCACTGCGTCCTGCTAGGCCCCGGCGACCATACGGGCGCTGCATAGTTTAGAACCGGGCGGCCAATTGCCTTGTATGTTGCTAACAACGTTTCTTTATATTTGCCCCAAGTGCTGCCGGCCAGCGACTTGAGGACATTGTTCCGGCTCTGTACTTTGTTGACAATTGCGGTTGTATGCGACGAGAAGGAGAGCAGACTGTCGAAGGTAACACCGTCGGTATTGTTACGCCATCGACGTGAATACCCAGTGGCAGTCTGAACTCCTTCGTCCAGGCGGTGAACAGTGTTGCCGAGGATCTCGCAGGGGATAGGGCAAGGCTCCTTGCAGTGAAGAAGCGAGAAAGTTCGGAGAGGTAACCGTTTACTTTCAAGCACAAGGCATCAATTCCATTCCCAGACGCCATGATCGAACAATCGTCAGCATAGGAGACTATATTAACACCCTCTGGTGGCTGAGGAAGCTTTGAGATATAATAATTAAACAGTAGCGGGGACAGGACACCACCCTGAGGTACCCCCTGTTTAATTTTACGTGCCTTGCCAGTTTTGTCTCTGAAAATTACTGACGAGTGTCGACCACTCAGATAATTCGCCGACCACCGTTTGAGTCCCTGTGGGAGTGAGGGGGCCTCTATATCTTCTAGTAGCGTTGAATGACTGACAGTGTTGAACGCCTTGGACAGGTCCAACGCTACTAGAATAGTTCTCTCACAG